CCTAATGGCGCTTTATAATAGAAACCCCGCTTCCACTGTGGATTCAACCCAATCTTACCGTAATTCTTGCTTTGACAACGTCCAAGGAGAGAACCCGAAAAAATTTGTGATGTGACATCTGCTCTCCCCCACCCTCCCCTCCCAGTAACGAAGGCTGCCATGCACAACTCTCCTCTACGCGCTCATGAGTTTGCGTTGAGGGAGGGGGAGGGGGTGGGAGCCATTCGAAGTAGAGCATTCAGAAATCGCAGGTTGATGACCCTAAGACAAATCCAGGAGAGAGTAAAAACGCCGGGTCAGAATCCTCTCCCTGTTTTAATTCTAAGTCCCAAGCAGGGTGAATAACGGTCGAGGAATTCCTCGACCATGGCTCTGTATTGAGAGTAGTGCCGAGAGTGAACGTACGCGCGGAGAGCACAGACGGCTCGCGCATGGCGAGTGTGAATGTCCGCGCGGAGAGCGTAACTGATCAGGCGAAAATCCTCGACAAGCCGTTGAGGAATCCTCGACAGATATTCACCCTGGTCCCGAGTACTGTAACTGGCTTACTCATGTGAATGCCAAATATGAAAAAAAATCAGAAATGGGTTACCATTACTTACCGTTACATCGGATAGGTCCGGTCTGAAGAAACTGAATATTCCTATCAGAACAAGACGGAAATATTTGACTCGTATCTTTGGCCCAAAGAAATATTCGACTACCTCACTCTGAATGAAAAGAATAAATAAATTTTTCAGCTTAAATAGATCTGAATAAATAGAAACCAGATGGATCAATACCGGATATTCCCAAACGACTCGCATAAACATATCGCTTATTATCACATGACGGCGATCACCAATTTCGGCCGGCATCGGGATATAGAGGTAGTATAAAGCAACCAGAATGAACAGCAGCGCAGTTATCCAGTACAGTAACGGCCACCACATCGTTGATCAATCTGAACTATTGCGAACAGTACGTCTATGGACTTGAAAATAATCCAATACAGAGATTGCGCTCAGAAGGAAGGTCTTTTCAGGGTGTGGAGCGCTTTTTCGAATTGGTTTCCTGCATACTGTAGGAGCTAATGAGAGCGACACAAAACCGTGATCCATTTTTCCTGAACGCCTCCAAGAATGTCAAGAACAGTGGTGAAGAAATGGTCCAGAGTTCGATTCCCGGTGATAGACAAATTTTTGTAATATAGTTAGGCG